CAGCCGCTCCCGCCTGTCCCCGAACAGAAATGCGGGCTGCCTGCAGCCTCCTGCCTGGGCTGGGGAAGTCAGGGACGTCCCTGTGCAAGGGAATCTACAGAAACGTTCACTAAATACGCTAAAGAAATTTTTGCACAAGGCGTTGATGAAAAAATCTCTCCCTCTTCTGTGTCAGGGCCGACTTTCATCCTTTCCGCGACTGTGTGTGCAAGAATCAGGCTACACCCAAACAAGCACCTTTAGTTTCTTGTGCACCAGTGATTTAATAACTGTCTGTAGTAAACTTCAGCACAACTAGTCAACCCCCACATCTTAGCTTAATTCAGCAACATCATTCTTCCCAGGTAAGAGAGCTTTAAAGGCACTAGATGCGGGTCTGCCTCGCAACGATTCCATACAGCATTTTACAATTCGGCAGGGCAAATTACCATTTCCTACTGCTGTCCAGCAACTCCCTCCTTCTGTTTATCACAGTCCGAGGTGTAGTTGTAATCCAGAACAGTTACAAGCAGCTGATACAGTGTTTTTGTTACAGATTTACTAAGTATTCATGCTAAATTTGCCAAAACAAAGTGTACTTAAAGAGTGAAGCTTTTATACGGAATGAGACAGAATCAGCACATAATTCAGTATCAAGATTTATTTAGGACAATCCATGGTCATGCTCCATTTGAATACAAAGCACCAAAATTTAGGTAACTGAACATTATCCAGATATAACCCAGCTGAGACTGCTGCCCACAGATCTATCGCTTGTTCTGAGCGACAGCATAGCCCACCGCTGCCCACATTCATTAACTGCCGCGGACAACAAGGCGCTGGGCTGAGGCAAACGCGCTGGAGAAGGCTGAGCAGAGGTACTTCCCTGTGTGCAGCCCTTGTTGCGGCAGTCTCAGAATAAAGTACTATAACCCCCGGTATCAAGCACATATTGACTCCAGTCAATAATAGCCCAAGACAATTTCCAAATTAATTTAGCATTTCCAGTTACTTTCCCGCAATCCCTCCCATTTTGTGTTTTCTAAAAATCATCTAGAGACAAGATTGTCTCAGCACAACATTCAGCTGAGAAGTAAAGCACTACGGCTGTGACCACACCAGGAGCTTTTCCCATTGCTGAAAAGGTAATAGCAACAAAAACTATTAGTTGCCAAAATCCTAACCGGGGAACTAAATAACGCTATAGTTTCAGCAAGTGTGGCTAGAAACATGTGTTGTCACCCATGACAGACTTCCCAACTGTAGATTTAAAAGCCAGAATCAAATCTTAGGCAAGTATTTCACCATAAAGTTGCAATACGGTTTTCTGATATATGTTAAAGTTTCAGTGAAAGAAGGTGGAGAGGGAAACGCTTACTACGGTTAAGGGAAACTTTTTTCTTTTAAACTGGCACTTTAAAGAAAAGGACTTAAAATTAAAATCAGGTTTACTCCAAAAAAAAAAAAATCTTATAAAACAAGAGCTGACAGAAAATAAAAAGACAAACCTCAGTCACTGTAAGTCACTAGTTACAATACAGACATTCCACCTGGCCACTAAACACCGCCCGGTCAGATGCCTTCCTCGTCTTTAAGAAGAGCCCTGGGGCAGACAAATCACCTACGCTATTTTTACATTGCTACGATCTCGATAGAGTGAAACACTTGAGCAGATGGAAGCGATGGTGGATCCAACTGAAATACTTTATTCCCCACCCTGAGCCCGCAGCTTCCCTCACAGCGGGAGCACAGACGTGCTTCACCTCCCGGCCCATTCCTAGGGCCCCCAGCAGCGCGGGGAGCGCGGCTCTTCAGTGCAACAGGCGAGCAAATGGCAAACGAGAACGGGTACAGCAGAGCCACCGCCACAGGGCGAGTATTTTTCACGTTGTGGGAACAGTTCAAGGGCTCCCTTTCAGAACAGCAAGGCAGCTCTCGGGTAGTTTAGTGAAGATTTCCTCAGAAAAGAAAACAGCTTTTCTCGTACCATTTCACCCAGTACACACACATACAAAAATAAGCGTACTATACAAACAACCGAAGCAATATAATTTACATGCCATCACGCTATAAACCATATATACATAGAAACATAAGCCTATCCCAACAGAACAGAACCACTTTATTACAAGGTAATTCTGTTGAAGTTTTTGGAGGAAATCATGACAGATAAAGAAAAATCAGACCAAAGGATTTGGATGTTGCTTCTAAAAGCAATCTGCTCAGAAATGTCATGCAACACCACCATCTTTCTTTAGCAGACATTTATTACAGTTTCAGCTATACAAAGGTCTTCCCACCATTTCTGGACTCCCTTCCTGTACAGAGGTAGATTTCTGTAGATGTTCTGATATTGCACCACGTAACCATAACGTTTTCATTACAACAAGGAACAACTTACAAAGGCTACTTTACGGGCATAATCTCATTGTGTGCATTCAGGTAGCACAGTAATCAAATCCATTTGCACTTGAAAGAAACCATCCCTCAAAGTGAAATGTTTTGTTATTTAGGTGGAGGTCCAATTGAAAGCTGCAATTCTATTAACAGCTTCACATTAAGAGACCTCCCCCTTGTCATCAGGGTGACACACTTCAGTCTGTCTCTCTCCTTTGAGCCGCTGTTTAGCCAATGCAAGAGCTTGCATCGCCTTCACTGATGCCTTTACCCCAGACGCTGTGTTCAAGTTAAATGTGGATTTCACACACACACACAAGTTTTTGCAGGATTAAATCTTCATACCCATGCAAGCGGTTGTAATTCAGAAATTTACAACATTCATTCAAACCGCCTGAAACGATTAAAAAAGCCCATCCCCACATTCAGACTGGAAAAGGAAAGCTGAAGCTGAAACTTTGCTAGCTTCAAACAGCCATTAACTGTGAACAACTTTGATGCTACCAGGAAAATCTGATGAAGTCTGACAGTAGTTTCATTTCCTTTTTGTCCATCCCACTCTTGAGTAACCTTCTGACCACTCGGGAGCTTGCAGAGAAGCCTGCATGCAAACACCACTTTAGGATGTCTGTTAAACAAAACCTCTACAGCACACTTAAACGTAAGCGCACCAAAATTCATGGTGCCAATGCACAGGAACCTTGCCGAGCTCACAAACATTGCTAAGCTGTTTTTTTCAGAGGCACCCCATGATGTTATCTTTACAGAAGCCTGTCAACATGGAGATACACGACAGAACAACTCAGTATTCTGTGTACCGAAACATGAGAGGAGAGAAGTGCTCCAAGTCTGGCTCAGCAAATCCAGCAAAGCTGTGGTACACACGTGCTCACGTGCCAGGGCAGATGCACGTTTCACTCCCATAAAGAAGCCAGACAAAGCAAGCAGCACCACTCTTCCTGGCTGCAAGTTTTTAAGAAAACTTACAAGAGAAGAAAAGTTCTCTTTTTGTACCAACCAACCTATTTGGAACTATTTTTAATGAAGGATTGCATTATAAACATTTAGCATCAGTTTCCCAAGTTCAGTTTATCCGAAGCATCCTGTTCCTTACAGAGTATTACAGCAGTAAGGAATGGTGACTAGTTTGGAACTGAATAGTTTTTGCTAAAATACGGATGAAAGGCATACAGAAATTCGTTACACTTCTCCATATACACACTTGTCCCTGTAAAGGTATTTTTTGTACCAAGGCAAGTAAATCCCAAGTTACTTCACAACAACTGCAACAGTATTGAAACTCATGACGACTCTTTTCCCATGCTGAAAGGGGTTGCACACCTGGGAGTAGAAGCACAAGAATCTCGCCTTCTCGGGGGAGCCCATTTTGTGAAGTGAAGGGAACCCTTCACTTCAGGGAGTAACTTCACCAGGAATTACACTCCCTGCCCCTGGCAGAAAGCGCTCACGTACCTTGCAAGAGCACGTTTTTGAATAAAGAAATCCATTATACGCAGTAAAGGTTAGATGACAGTGGCAGGAACCAGGGCGTTTGGAGACTTCTCTTCTGTTTTTAAAAAGCAATGGTTCTTCACAAATAATGATCCACGATTAGGAAGCGTCTCATTCACACACTCAGCTAGTGCATAGCATCTGCGATTGCATAGAATGTTTCCAGTGCTGAATCTGTAGCTAACCTAAGCAAATCTTTTGCAAGTTTGATTTATTACCATTTGATATCCAAATTGCTTGCTGTTTGATTTACTGCGCTGTATCTGGTGTGCAAAGTTTCCTGAACCTTCTTAGAGTCCACACCTTCCAGCCAGTCCTGGTACATCTTCTGTACATGCACGTTGGTTTCTGGAAGCCTGACAGGTATGGCAGCATACACCTCTTCCATCTGGTTAAGCAGTGCTTTATCTGGTTTTCCATCTTCGGTCTGTGCCTGACCTTTTCCATTTAGGCACCCTTAGGGGAGGGGGGGAAAAAAAAAAAAAAAAAGGAAAAAAGCTGCAAGGCTGATGGAGATTTGATATGAAGAGAAAGTCTACATTAACTTGGAATTCTTTTTTCCTACTTGCCTAAAGACAAAAAAGTTGTCTCTTTACATAAACTGCCCCCCCCATGCTGTTAGAATTTGTATTTACTTAAAGTGTCTCCAGTAACAACATCATTTTGATGTAAATGAGGTTTCCCTCTCAACAATCTTTTTCTGCCTTCTCCATGATTAAGATCTTAATTATGTTCCTTGTCTTTTCTTGCCCTTGACAACTGCCATTTCAGAGTATTCCCTCTGAGGTTTGAAATAATCGTGAGAGCCGTGCTGTCACTTATTTATAGGTCAGAAGAGAGCAAGTAACATCGTGGTTAATTTTAGAAAAGGCAATCAATTTCTGAGCCAGCCCTGCACATGTAATTGGTGTTCTGGACCGTTCATTAAATAGTAAGCATTTTAAATTATTAATAAGAGAATTAATAGGGAATGAAATAAAATGCCTGCCTATAAGACAACTTTCCTTTGAGATTCAAGGTACATGTGCAAAACGACTGTGGATCCACAATTATTCTTACCTCCTGGGCAGGCAAGGACTTCTACAAAATGGTATAAAAACTTTCCTTTTTTCAACTTCAGAACCATGTTTTGGATATTTCTAAAGCCATATGCTGCTGCAAAACGCAGCACGGTCTCACCATCCTTTTCAAGAGTAACTTCTTGAAAGTCCTTGTTCCTGTAAAGATACACAGAGAACACTTTAAACCCCTGCATCACCAAAGGGATGATCCAGCTGTGTCAGGTGGTACTCGGATGCCCGGAACAGAACAGAACAAGTGTAACACTGAGATTAAGGTGGACTCTTCCAGTTTCTAAACTGAGTTAAGAAATAATTCTGTTTTCAGAACAGAATTATACTTAATTGCCTGGTGGTGTTTAAGAGGCATTTGGGCAACACGCTTAACGTGCTGTAACTTTAGGCCAGCCCTGAAGCGGTCAGGCAGTTGGACTAGCTGACCGTTGTAGGTCCCTTCCAACCAAAAGTATTCTGTTCAATTCTAACCAACCCTTCCTACATAAAAATACAAAACTGACTTACTTTAATGCTTTGTAGGTGATTTCCTTGACATCCATGCCAAAAAGCTCCTTTGCAGCATGTTTAAAAATGTGTTCCAGATAACCATCAGATCTCTTCCCATCATGCCTCACTACCTCTCCCTCCTTTACGTCATCAAACCTTAGAAAACAACAGAAAGATCAACTCCAGAATTTCATTCCTTCACTTCAATGAAGTAGTATGTTTTTCCCCTTCTCTGTCTCCCCAACAAAGAGTTTCATAGCAGTGAGTGAGAACATACTAACATATGTATTTATTACAGCTTAAAATAAACTATTCATGACAGATGATGGAAAAAATAAAATAAATATAAAAGGGGGCAGGGCTTTCCTGGTTCAGAAACCTCAAGCAACAGTAGCATATGAGAACACACATTCAGCACGGCCTAAAGACTTGGTTAACAGCCATTCACTGCTCAGGAGACATTTTAGGGACAAAATAAATCAATCCTTTTTTACCCTGTGAGAAAATAGAAGTACTTCAGAGGTTACAAGCCTTTGCTCACTAACAATTCTCCTGCTCCAGGGGCTGTCTGTCACAGGCTGTACCACTGCGCCACTAACGTAACATCACATCAGTCGCAACCAGGCTAGAACACTGCACCTTTAGGATCAGTACACTATAGCCCAGGAAAGAAAACTAGTGAGATCATATCCAAAGGGCACAGCATCCACCTGGAGGTTCACCTCTCCCGCAGTGACAAACAGCACTGATGAGCACAAGGGCTGTAGCGTAAACTGCACCGGGACATGTGCTGGCCATGGCCACAGACCGCGGCTCTGCGGGCTCGTGTTCCTTTCTGGCAAAGGAGGAACCGACAGGGCCATGTGGGAATGCGAGTTTCAGGAACAGATACTCGTCTTCAGATCAGCAAACGGACAATTATGTTCTTTGCTCTTACATGTGAAAGCCCCTCTAGGTACAGTGTAATTACCTTCTTCCCAGAACACCCAGACGTGACCTTGCCTGGCCTGTACAGCCCAAGCACGGCACTCTACCACGAAACCAAACTGACAATTCCCACAGCAGACACCTTACTAACAAAAAATGCTGAAGTTTTAATGATGACTGAGAACTCTTTCAATCACTGAAGAGCTGAAGTTTACAAGTTTATTATGTCCGTCCCTCTACACCACACCACTGCATCTGCTTACGAACCACTGCAACTTCTGTGGGTTTTTAATGACCTCAGGGGATTTTCTTTCATGATACACCTCCTAATTTCAGCCAATTGCTATTTGTTAGCATTCTCTAGCTACAGAAACAAGCTGAGAACTCAAATACGAGTTACTTTGTTCACACTACTTTTTTAATACTAAGCACTTCACCAGAAATGGCTGCTGTGCCAGGACTTGTTTTAAGAGTAGTTCAGTTTATATAAATTTCTCAGCAAAATCTAATTTTAAGACCCCAGAAGACCAAAAATTTACATCATCAGGTCTCACAGTTTGAACAGGTATTATCAGATTAGTCCTTTTAAAAATTAACATTATTTTCCAACATAAATTGATCCAATAAAACAGGTATATTCTGAATAAGAGCTTGTTCTTTTATTGAACAGGCTGATTTAGAAATAAGTTACCATCTTTACGTGATTGTGTCTGCAAGAACTTTATGTATTTCTCATTCTGTGTGGCAATCTCTGGTAGAAGCAATCGTAGGAGCTACGCTGCCAATACAGCTCTGAAAAGGTTACCACTGTACCACTTAAATTTCTCCAGTCCAGACAAGGTCCAAGCAGGACACTAGTGAGAGCAAAAAGGATTTTTAAAGATTTCCAGAGCTTTCTGTTTTGTGCAAGAAAGCATGGTTATTGCTCCACTACCACCACTTTGGAAAGATACCAAGTAACATCTGTCACACTCGAACAAAGATCAGCCAGACCAGCCTTTGTAACTAAGCCCGAGAATTAAAACAACACGCATGCTGCTTTCTGAGTCAGTCATACAGTGAGTAAACAAAATCTCTTCAAGTGCTTTGTGTGATTTTCAGCTAAAGTGTATTTAAATTTTACCTAACCTTGAAAAACTAACTGCTGTCTTCAGTATAAAAAAATAATAATTACCACTTCCCGAAAGGGTGCTACTCCTATCAATTCTACACAAACATATTCGGGGGAGCGGAAATTTACTGTCAAGATGCTGCTCTGAATGAGAGGGAAGCACAGAACAGATGGTCAACGCCATGACGGCATCCCAGCATCTCTGTGTGAGGCCAGACAGTCGGAGGGGGCAGATGAGGCTGTTCAGCTTTATACCAGCTCAAGCACAGGAGAGCTCTGAGTGGGGTCAACGCCCCGAGACAGTCACACTTACTAGCTAGTCATGAACTTGATATAGTCAAATCTAATAACACTGCATTAAAAGGAGCTACACAAATCTTCAAAAATCATAAATTTTAAAGCACTCACTAGATAGGGTTCATTACCTCAAATTATCCGCTTTGTATTTAGACAGTATATACCGTCTTGTCTTATCTGTTTCACATTACTTTTATCTATAGCAATGAACATCTAAGAGAATACTTTGAGGTTTTTTGGCCACTATATAAAGGATGAGGCTTTAGTATACTCAGGCTTTGATGCAGGCTTGCATTCTTCAAAAAGAAAAAAAACATTCTTTTGAGAAGTTTTACATTTATGTTGAAGATGCTCAAAGGTGTTGTCATTTGTCATCAAAATAAGGAAGCAATCCACAACAAAACTACTTACAAACTATCTACAGCTACTTCAGTCACATCTTTCATAGACACATTTTTCTGTTCCATTATTTGGACAATTTCACCTGTAGGAAAACATACGACATTTTACTTTCAACACAAAGGAAAATGCACATGCTGCACCTCTGCTGAAGAGCTCAATACCCCAACATCTGTACGTGCTCAGTCACATTCTCCAGTTCTTACTAGAGTCCGTTCCCTCCAGTAACCGAGAAGCCTGACACTTCCAGCCCTGAAGAAAAGGGCCTTCAGCTTTCCCCAAACTTTGCATAATGCTGTCCTTCGCCCTTCCGTTAGACAAAGTTTGGGAGACATTTCTACAGTGCAGGGGAAAAAGAAGGATACGTAGTTTGGACATTAAGCCTAAAGACAAGAGCCACACCAAAAAGCCACCGGTGCCCTGCATTTGGAATGTTATGAAAAATCCCAGTGGAGATTAAATAATGGCCACAGACCAGCAAGACAATGATTTTAAATATGGATTTGCGTAGCTCTCACCTTTCTCAAGAGGCTGACAAAAACAAATACCCAAATCTTGTCTTCGGACGAATGCCAACTTAGAAGGAAAGCATTTTTCACTTTGCCTGCCCTAGAGAATACCTGCACTACCAGTAGCACAAACACACGTATCTATTCTTAAAGCAGAAAAGCGCCAACCTTACAACTAAAGCACACTTGAAAAAAGCAAAGTCTGGCATAAAAGCTGCTCTAACAATGGTGATTATATCTGTACAAATAGTAAGTTTAAAGAAGATTTAACCTGATGTCAGAACACAATCAACTTCTTGCGAATTATACAAGGCAGTGTAGAAATCTTCCCGCAAGGCTTCCAGTTTTTTGTCATAACAAGGCGCCACAATTACATGGAAAATTTTATCAGGAGACAAGTTCTGTGGAACACAGAAGAGGGCACATGTGAACTCCATGAAGAGCAAAAGACAGCTTGAATGACAAGGACAAAAATAGCATCATAAACTCTACGCAGGTAATACTGGCAATCAATCCCTAGCAACAACTTCTAGTAACTGCTGCGCACAGGTGAAGTGATTTGCCAGAAGTCACAAAGCATCACCAACAAACACCCAAAGTCAGTCTTCTGGCTGAAACTTTTACTTATCCCTTCAGACCATATTTTCTGCAGATTGCCTTAGAAAGTGAATGCAAGTCAGGACTTCAGAACTCTGTTTTTTAGCTGTCATTCATTCACTGTTATCCACAGCAAGTCCATTGGTATTTCTCTGTCTATGTGGAGATACTGTCCTATATAGTGTGGATGCAGTTAACATAAAAAGAATGGCAACTTTTTCAACATACCAAATGGAAAAGATAAAAGGGTTAGTTTCTAGGATACAATGGTTTTATTGATCCCAGATAACAGGGCAATTTCTTCCTTGTTCTCCTCTGCTCCTGTTTTGGCTGTGCTACAGAACTACACAGGCAGCATTTAACAAGAATCTCCTTAGGTACCCTGGATTTGATTTTATCCATAAATGTCCAAATCCATGTTGCGCTGGGAGCGCAGGGATTGCTGCCAGCTCACACTGCACCGCATGAAGTGAGGTTCTTTGTACATTCTTCTTATCATGGGCACTTGTACAGCAGCAAAGCACTACTTACTCTTCAAGTAAAAGGACAAAATTCAGGAAGATGATTTATCACTTTATAATACACTAAGATCTATATTTCAGTATTAAAATGACTAGCCCATCTTTTTAGAGCCATATAATAGTGAAAATAAATCAGCATTACTTACCTGCTGCCTGGCAAAGTAGCCCTTCACCAGGGAGCCCATGATCTGCTGTGGAGACTTTGCAGTGCAAATGTGAGAGGTCACAAGATTGGTAAGTACCCTTTCAGCATATCGGATCCAACCTAGAATGACAGAAAAAAAAATAATCAGAGTTAGTCAAGTGGCACATAAGCATGGCAATGTGGCAGCAGTTACAGAACAGCTCTTAAAAATGAAGACACCTTCACAGAAGGTAGGACATTTCTGTGTAGGCTGGAAGCCCCACCTCAGGAACTGCAAGGAAACCTTGAGGCTCTGTTAATAACGCTTTACAGTTGGCCATCGGTAATTCACCATGTCATTAATTCTAGACCTGGAAGCCACTGTGAAGTTCATGACCTATTACACCCTTTCTAATGCATCGATTTAACAAAGCAGAAAGAGCAGGACCCCAGCTAACAAAGAGTAAGTTGACTTTCTAGACCTCAGCCCTTGGATCACCAGACACTACAACAAATGTACTCTGTTCAGCTGCTTAACTGAAACCTTCTGTTTCCCGAGATTTAATATCCATGCACCCAGCTCGCCTCCTCTAGAACAGAAGAGTCACATGAAGGCATTATCACAGATGCACATGGATTAAGCCTGGGGAAAAATGCCGCCTTTTATTATTGTTAGAGTAGCCACACCTTTAGAAACACCCACACACTCAACCACACATACAGCAACTAACTGAAATCTCTCTGTATTCAACATTCTGTCTTAGTTACTCAAGAGTCCCCCCTCCCTTTCACCGGACTCCTTCAGCATTTCAGCTATGACAAGCTATGGATATTCTCACCACCCTCAATGTCCTGAGCAGTTCTATTATTCCTCAGTTTCCCAAACAACAGGAACCAACCAACGAGCAGATTAAGATGTTCATGGTGTGCAATTCTTTCTTAAGCACTGCAACTCTTACTGAAAACAGCCCAGAATCTTTCACAGCAAGGGTTCAGAACTTTTTGCTTCCCTTACATGAACTGAGAACCAGATACTTAAATTGCACAGGTGTTAGGCCCAGCCTTTTAGGGAAGCGTGTTGCTTTTGGTGCTGAGAAATAGTGAAAAATATCACACTGAAGTTTATCCTCAAACAGATTAGTGTTTACATAAAAGAAAACAAATGCTGTGAAGTACATGGTGCCCAAGAAAGTTAAAACCTGTAGGTTAATTCTTAAGATTGAGATTAACACAATATGTATAAACACCAAGTAACTTTTAAGTCAGAACACTGCCACAGAGGCCAACAGCAGCACAAAACTAGAATCCAAGTGGCATTCAGATGGGTGCGTCTCTATGGCAGAGAAGTGGTTCTCCCCACATAGTAGAATTTTATTGATGAAAATGAGAAAGTTTAAGTATTAGAGAAACGTAAGGATCCTCCAACTGTTTAAATATTCCCAATTCTTGTTAAAGTACAGGCTTAAAGATTAACAGATACTGGTCTCCATCGAAAAATCCGAGACATACATCATCTTCAACAAGCATTCACTTCTGTTGTAGAAAAAGCTCAAGACTAGAGATTTGTATGTCAGGACTGTTGCTGAGTTGCTAGACTCAGAATAGGAAGTTTGCTTAATGTCCAACTTCAACTGGTCCAAGATATTACCTGCAACAAAGGACTTGTTCTTGGTGTTTGGTACAAAGGCTGTATTAGCCTATTCTCCATGATATGTATATCCTATTTCTCAAATGGCTTTAGCCTCAAGTGCTGCTGAAGTGGAACAAAAACTGCTTCAAACAAAATAAGGACAATTTTTAAAACATTCTGCCTTGTACTTTAGTAGTATTTCTAGAAGACCCTTCCCTTGTACTGCAACTATGATTACCATCAAATCACCACCACACTCCTGCTGTGAGGCTGGTTTTCAGAACTGGAATGGTTTAGATACTGTAGTCATGAACTATAAGGAAATTTCACTCAATCCCAAGAGATTTCTGGCAGGTATTGCCCAAAGCAATTTCTTAAATTGTTTATTTCCTTGCAGTAGATGGAACAAGAGCCTAGTAGTTCCAGCTCCACAATGACCATTAGTCAGTGTTTAATTATACAAGCAACCTTGGTGAATGAGCAACATGAGGCACTTATCTGCACTTCACATACACACTAGCTGTTTCTGCCTACTCATCAACAGGGCTCAGTTCCAGCGCCACAGTTACAGGAAGCCCAAGACACTCCGTTCTCCTATCAGCGTACCTCTGTACCCACACAGACCTACACCCTTCGCAAATTCATTCAGATTCTTGGTCATTTGTTGCTTTGTGTCAGCATCAACGAACAACAAGAAACCCCTACAAATCACTGTATGAATTCTTGCAAGTGTACAGAACACATTTTTAGTGGTTTGTCGTGAGCAGATAACTAAGATGTACACTATAAATATCTATGCAGCAGTATAAAGTGCAGAAAAACTAAGAAAACTTTCGCTACTGTAAAACCCCATTCCTGTAAAAGAAAATCAGTTGCCTGGGACAACAGCATTTGAATCCTCAATAGTTTTGCTCTTCCTGCTTGTGCTGTAAGCCTGCCTTGTTGACCTGATCTAGGAGTTCAGAGAGGTTGGCAATGCATTAAAAATGCTGGCTGGATCCCAGAGCAAGTGCTGTGCTTCACGTTGATTACCAGTTTGGTAAATTAAGGAAGAAAAGGGATTAGTTCTGAGATATTATACACACAATCAGTAGTTACACTGTTGTACTTTCAATCATAGAATCATAAGGTTGGAATAGACTTCCGAGATCATCAAGTCCAACTGTTGACCTAACACCACCATGCCCCAAAGCACCATATCTACACGTTTTTTGAACACCTCCAGGGATGGTGACTGCACCA